TTCAGACGAGACCCCGTTTGGATGAATCCTTAGAAAACAGATTCATAGGAAATTTTGGCGAAAAAGGAGCTTAAATAATTTTTAAATAATTTGAAATCTTCTGGAAATTTTCACATTTTCCCTAATTTTCGATTTTTTTAATTTAGCATTTTTTTTAAAAATTGTCGTTCGCTTAACTAAGATTTATGAAAGTAAGGGATATCTAAGAGTTCGCGCAGGTGAGTTTTAATTGGATTACGTAACACTTTTTATTAATTAATACAAATGGTTTGATGCAATAATAAATACTAATATACTGATGACCACAATTATTGGAAACTGTAGACAATTTCACCTAAAATCTTCGAATGTTTAGTAACTTTTTTAGATAAAAGAATTTTAATTGGTTCCTTTTTAATCAATGCTACCAATATATTATAGATAAGACGATCAATTTGTATAATATTTGAACCGAGCCAAGCTGCCATATTTCGACTTCCATCTTAATAGGAGCTACCATTAAAACCCGAAATTTAAACCTTCAATCCATTTGTAGTCCCATATGATTCCCGGGCGAAGAATTCTGATTCTATTAGCCACTGAAACTAGTTAGTATAATAGTTAATATATGTATAGTTATTTAGATCAAAATTGTTTCTAGGCGAAGAATTACACAGAATATAAAAACATAAAAATATAATTGTCGCCGATGCACTGTAGCCTTTAGATGAAAGTAAATTATTTTTGGCTTAAAAATTAGTCTTTCTTCGCAGGTCATTTATTTTATCAAAGTAAAAATCGCTAAATGTGTGATATTATTGCATAATAAAAGTTGATGATATTATCTGTTCTGTCCTAGACGATTATTATCTTCAATTACATCAAAGAGGCTTAAATAAATTTTACTATCTCCAACTCGCTCATCATCTTAATCTGATTAAATTTATTATATATTCTCATATTTTTCTATATTATCGCTATTACTATTTAAATAAAAGATTTTATAAAACTACAGTGTATTTATATTTATGTTCGAGCATATTTTAGATATCGAATTATTTGATTTTTTTTGATAAAATTATTTATTTGAAGGCCAAAATTGGAAGCTCTTCATTTCGATACAATATTTATGGCGATACAATTTAGAAAAAACTAAAACTTCTTTTATTTTAAAGTACTTATAAGTACTTTTTCAAGCTGCATTCACCATCTGGTTTATTCGGTTCTAATAAATAGAACCCTGTGTTCATTGAGTTCTATGCAGAATAATATAAAACAGAATATTTTTATGAAATCTTTGGACCATTTAGATTGATTGTTCTGAACCTTCTGATTCATCTGGAAAAGAAATTCGTACAAATAACGATTGGACGTAAAATAAAAGTTACGATGTAATTTTGGTGAAAACTCACCACTATATTTGGCACACTTTGGCACGACTTCGTAAATTCTTTCCGTTTCATTTTCCACAGATTATGCATTTCGTAGTTGCTCACATGTTTGTTAAATCGAGCGTATATCCGCATAAAAGTCCTACAGAGCAATGTTACTTTTTTGGTTTTTATTTTCCAAAACTATGTCCCAAAAATCTTGGATGATATCGAAAATATTTTCTCTCTTATTTCCAATTTAAATTGATAATACTATTATTTATTCTCATTAGTGCTTGTTTGATATTGCCATTGGAATTTGAGAATTTAAAAAATTAAATTAAGAAAAGATCAAAAGTTCAAATTCAAAAATTAAGAAATTCAAAAATTTAAAAATTAAGAAAAGATTTATAGAGAATTTTGATGTTTTTTGCTACAGGAAAAAGCGATTCATACTTGAACTGAAGAAATTTACTGACACAAATCCATGTGCGTTAATATTGTTTTCATCTAAGTTTTCACCAAGGTTAAGTGTATTTCTAGGATCAAAATTGCTCTTTTTCACAAAGGTACTTAAAGTATGAATTTTTTAATTCTAGGAGGATTTAGGAAGATTTCATAATATTTCATTCGCTATATTGAAAATTCAATAACTTCTATGATTTTGCACTTTTTACAAGCATGAAACTGATAAACTCCTTGTTAAACCGTAAATGAGGATGAATGTAGTGAATATGAGCATAAAAAGGAAATAAATAACTTGATTTTCAAGTCCCAAGCGATCCAGAAATTGACTTCATCAGATATATTTGTCGGAAGAGATCAAAAGGTCCCTCTTGCAAATTTTCATGGACATTAAAAATTCATGGCTCTTAACAATTAGAAAAGTTTGTTATTTATTGCATAGCTAGTGTTTTATTACTCGATTGGGAGCAACCCAATATTCAATTTAGAAAAGAAAATATTCCTCAAATTTATTATAGACAAATACTTTTCCAATTCATAAATAAAAATATTTCGTTTATTTTTGTCCAAAGAAAGGGAGAAGGGAGGAAGTCAAACTATTTGCGCTATTTAAAGGGAGACAACATATATTATATCATTTCGCTTCAGCGAGATGAAGTGAACTTTCCCTTAAAGTGAAATACAAGTAGTGCTGGGGATTCATCTGTATCTCTGCCAAAAGGATCTTAAGCTGATAGCCAGTAAAGCCAGCCAAATCAAAAATGGTAAATGCTAAAAATGGTAAAAATTCCTAGAAATACAAAAGCCTTTAGCAACTATAAAATTTCTACACTTAAATAGATAAATCTAATTATGTAATTAAACATATGGTGGTGAAAAATCGAGTTTATCAGCGAGTAATAAATGAAGCATTTGCGTATAATAAACTGCCTTCTGTTACGGATTTAATTTTCGATGATAATTGAAAAGAGAAGAAATATCGAAATATTATAAAAAGCCAAATGTTCAAGAAGAACGATGATTGATGATTTAGATCAGTCAGATTAAATCAATTTGCGCTTAATGGATTAACAAAAACCAGGAAATTTTTTTATAAAATTATTAGTTTTTTTTGAGTGGAAATACGTTATTTCAGTTTTATTGCTATTATGATTTCCCATGACAATTTCTGAAATTACGTTTATCTTTCATCAACGATTCTAATAAAAATTAATCAAGTATTTAAATTTATATTCACTTAAAATCAACAAACCGACCAATATATAATTGTAAGAACAAAAAAAAAACCACCAATATATAATTAACCAATATATAATTGTAAGAATAAAAAACCACGGCGAATTTCAAGCTTTAAAAATGATTGTATTGTTACATCGAAATAATCCATCCGATTACTGTTATTTTTAATGAAAATCAAACAGTTATAGATATTCGATTCCCAAATGAAGAGTGGTTCTGGAAACTTATCTTTACGAACTGATTCTCTGTTGTAGAGATCTTAATATTGAGTTAGTGAAATACATCAAACCAGAAATGACAAGGAGGGGATGAGAATTATTCAAGATAATGTTCCTCATGAATTTGTCTTTCCATTTTCGAAATCGTTAACGGAAATATTCTACAATGATTTCTTAAATGTTTACATCAACAATATTAGTTATTTATGAATACAAAATGACCTCGCAAACAGATGATTGTGTACCAAAGTAATAAATGAATAACCATAAAATTAGCATACGTAACAATGTGTCATAATATTAATAATATTAAATTGGTAAAGGTTGTAAATCTCTTGAAACACTATTCGTTTTGTTTTTTATATACATATGCATATATATATATATATTTACATTAAATATATACAAAATGAATATACTATATTTGTGAAATTTTTATTTTTCAATGATATATTTAGTTGGATTTTAAAAATATTCATTATTTCTAAGAGATTCGCTATGCTGGCTTATTAAATTAGGCAAATCATTGTCAGAGAATCACCTTGGCGATAGAAATATAAATGAATCGCCACTCGCATTTTTGAAAGACAGACTTACTCTTTCAAGAAACCTCCGTACTCCAAGTTAATCAACCGACTGAACTATTCTACCTCCTTTTGCTTTCCTCCTCTAGCTGCATTGCAGCTCGACGAAATAGGATGCGTCGACTCTAATCATTTTTCTCAGTAATCATTTTGCCAATAAACCACTTACAGTTTCGAAAGCAAACAGGATATTTTAACTTATTTAATTGTTAACGACGGAATTCAAATTGTTGAATTAGCCAATAAAAACGAAAAATCTAGGATCCTTTTCCATGTCTTCTTAAATAAAGTGGAGCATTAATTTAAACATTCTCTTTGAAACTTCGGAAAATTCTGAAATTGTATTCGAAACCTGAACTTTGATCTGTTTGGATAAAATAATGCAAATCTCTGTTCGAGTTTGGTTTTTGCCTTCATACCATCAGAGTAGCCGAAGGATCGTACTGGTGCAAATTTTTTCTCAGTGTGAAGCACATAGGGTTTTTAATAAAAAATGTTCTCAAGTATCTATTGTTATAAGATATTAATCTTCATTTTTATAGCATTTCATGTACAGAAATTTTTGATTGTTTGAAGGGTTTTTTTCTCAGTTGGGCTTCTTCGCATTTGGCAATGAGTGATCCGTTTAATTCTCAAGAATTCTTTTAAATAGGTGTAAAACAGTGGGGAATCATTTCATTCCAGATTTAATAAACACTTTGACTATGATTTCAGATTTACTTCACGATTTTACGATTAAATTCGGACTATTATCTATAGCATAAATCTTTCAAAATTTAATTATTAGCTTAATTTAATTATTTAATTAATCATTTTTCATGTAAAACTAACAATACCTATTTTACACCTATTTTATACCTATTACCAAGATACCTAACAAATTAACAAATTATTTTATTAACAAATTATAACAAATTATATATTTAAAAACCCCGATTTAAAGCATGTATGATAACCTAAGAAAGATAAGAAATTTTATTTAAATATCAGTAAACAACATATTTAGATAATTTTATGAAATTATTTATATCTTTTTAAATACAATTTTAGATATAAATGCCATTATATTCTTTAATTATGCTAAAAAATAAACACCTGTCTAAGTTAATCATAAAAATAATTGAATTAAATAATCATATTTTAATATGATTATAATATTTCTAAGTGGATTTTTCGATGGTAAGTTTAATCTTTCTGAAGGCAGAAGTCGAAAATAGAATATGGTAATCTGTCGATGTTTTTTTTTCTCGAAGTAAATCATGATTATCTAACTCATCTAATCCAATAATCATTTATAGAATTACAAATTGATGAAGATGGGAATCCAATTTGTATTATTTGCGATGAAAAGCTGAAAAATGAGCGAGAATGGGCTGAACATGTTGAAATAGAACGATCGAAACTCATTAAAAATATTAATCAGTAATATTATTTAAAATTCCAATAAAGTTCATATTTTATATTCATATAAATATAGTGATTATTATGTTATTTATATTAAAACATCGATAGGTTGAGGCCAAAATAAGATAATGGATAATGCCACACAATTTATTTTTTACTTTTATTGGATTGATGTGAACAATGCAAGTGGAAGGAGATGGAATTTTTTATTTATGAATCGACTTTTTGCATAGAAATTCGCTTTCGACTTCGATTTAAATAAAAAGTTATTTGGCCCTTAGATTAATCACTGAATTAATTCATATTGAGTAAATTAAATGGTTAGCGCTTACTATTTCTGGTTCCTAGCTTCGCTGGCACGGTTAGAAATTTTTTAGCAATTTATCAGAGAATTTATCATTTGGTATTAGTGTTCGGATTATTTTAATGGCAAATTAAGTCACTCGAGTAGGGTGCAGAATTTGCACTCTTATTATTATTATTATTGTTATTATTATTTTATTATTATTACTATTATTATTGTTATTATAATTATTTATTATTATTTTGTTATTATTTTTAACTATTATTATTATCATTATTGTTATTTATTATTATTTGTTATTACATCTGCTACTATCCACTCCAAATTAACTAAATTTCACTAATTTTTCATAACTTGTAGTATGGTCTATTAATAAATTTGGTCTCTACTTCAGACTGAAAGAACAAAAATCAAATTATAACTGTATTGCTAATTCTTCGGGCGATCATAATCGGCGAAAAAGAGAATTTGAATTAATGCGAATTCGTGCAAACCAACAGAAAAGACTTGCAGGTTCTTATTTTTAGGAGCTTTCATATTGCATTCGAAAGTCTTATATCGTAGCTATTCATAAATCAAAAAAATATCTTAGAAATTTCTTAGAAAATTTGTTAATTTTAATATAATTTTATTATTCTTATCACGTCCAATATTATAAATAATATTACCAAATTTCATAAGCAAAAATTACAAAATTTCTTTAAAATATTTTTCAGCTAAAAATATGCCAAATCGCGAAATAAAATCGTGGAATATTTCAACGACATCATCTGATGGTCCATCTTCTTGTTCGGCCATAATAAATAAATCTGATGAAACAGACGGGTCTATCAATACTGGCAACTACTGTAAATCATGTGAGGTCAGCCTTTGATTAATTGGTTGTAAGAGCAACTCTGACAGTACTTTATTTTCAAAAAGTCCCTAGAAATGGATGGTATTTTGATTAGTTTTCTTTAATGGTATCAGATTGGATCTTCTTTTTCTTCTTATAAGAATGCTCAGTATTTCTGGTTTGCTTGACTGCATAAACTGACGGAGCGAGGAGGATAAATAGCTCCTCAGTATCATTCGAACAAATGGGTAATATTTATTTAAACGTTAGTGTTAATAGAAGAGAGAAAAGAATGAAATGGTAAGAAAGTTTCCCAATTAAGACAACTTGAAAACTTTGAAATCGCATTAAACGCTAATAAGAAAATCATAAAATGATTTCACGATAAATTCCATCGCTTAATTCGCGTATACATGAAATTAAACCATTCATGCGGTGAGAGTAAAATAATTTCATGAATACTAAAGGTTTCTAAATTCTAGAATTTCAGCGGTATCACGAATATCTGATAATCAGTAATGCTTTTGAAGAAGCACGATGTCAAGAATGTTTTTTCAAATTTAGGGCACAAACTGGAGCACTTCCATTAACTGTTCGTTACTTTTTTTATCCTTTCTCAGGAAGGAACTTAAAATCGTAAATTATCTCGAAATATAAAATTAGTGGACTTTAAATTTTAGTTCTTTAGTTCTTATTTCTTGTTAATAGCTTGATAGAAATTTTTTTCGTCATCAATTTGATTTTCAAGCTTTTTTTTCATGAAGTTGATAAAAGGCTCATTGTGCACTTAATAAGAGACATATCTTGGAGTGCATCAGTTTTAGAGAATTTTTTTATAGATAACAACTTTACCAACCGAAAGAGCATCTTCAGTGTCGCACTGTGAAACTGAAGATAAGCATTCACCACAGTCAGCTTTAGCACTCATTGTTGAAAATAAACGTCCAAGATTCGATTAATAATTATTTTTGAAATAATGCTTGTTTTTCTTCACAAATATGTTTAAAAATTGATTGTCGGTGTTTTTTAAGTGTTATTCGGTGCAAAATAAAATTCATTATATTTTCACACAAAAGACCGAAAAATTAATTTTAACTGGATGAACCCTGGATGGACCCGGGAGATTAATTTTTCACAAGATTAATTGAGATTACAAGGTTATGAGTAACCGTTTTTTCTCGAGTCATAGTAGTGGATATAGTAGATTAAGCATCAAATCGCACTCACTCGTGATTTTACGCATTTTCTATTTTCTACTTTTTAACACCATTTTTATTATCAGTGGTTTGGAATAACTAATTAATTATTATAATTATTTTGAAAAAGCGGAAACATTTGGTGGAATGGAAACACTATTTCGTTAGCTTTACGACCTGGAAATCGAAAAAATTTTAAGTAAAAAATGGATTTTTCTCGTAACACTTTAAATTAAAATATCTTCATTACTAAGCATGGAATAGCACAATTCAACTGCGAGGATAAAAAAAGCCTTCAAAAAAGCAGATAGAACAAGAAACAGGATGTGAAATACGATTCATTCACTTCTCAGAAATGTCAATTGTGCAAACCGTCTGATGCTCTTGGAACCACTGGAGCCAAATTTTAACGAAATATTCTGGAAATTTTGTAAACTACTATTTCTTAAAGATTTTTTGTTTTATTTTTGAAATTTTGGTGTAAAAAGATTTGTATCAGTTATTTTTTCTTTTATCAATGGAATATGATAATAATTATATGCAAATTATGTAAATAAATATTTTCACTCGGTTGTAGTACTATTTTCCTAACAACTAGGATTTTTATTGTACCATATCTCTTTAATCACCATTGTGACTAAGCAAAATATTTTATGTCTATAAAATATATACGAGCGATTGTTGATCATTTAAAATATTAAATGGCAAGTGAAAATCGGATTTATGAACTAAATTTATTTTATCGCTGATCCTTGTTTATCAATTCTGGTTTAGGCGATTTTGATGAAAATAAAAAAATTTTAATGGTTTTGACGAATAATTTACGTACTTAAACGATTCTAATCAATCTTTTTCACATTTTCCAGCAAATATTTTTCATAAACACAACTTCGAACAATATTCGCCATTTCTGGTTTGGCCGACTCCACTAATCATCGGGATAAGGCATCTCTCTGTCAAATGCGATAGTAGAAGTGACTGATGATTGTTAATAAGATCCTGGTTTTTCCTGACAGGAACACAAATCCAATTCACCATAATCGATACCATAAACCATTGACCTCGTACACAAAAAAAGAGAATTTTTGATAATTTTTCAACATAGAACAGATTTTAATTGAAAATTTCGATTTTGGCTTCTTATAAATTAAATTAATTCCAATCTTTCTAAGAATAACTTGTTTTCCATCGAATTTGCCACATTTTATTTTAGAGTTTTTCGTTATATTGTTTGGTTTTCATGGATGCCACATATTCGTGGACTTGAAGAAAATTTGTGTGTAATTGTTAAAATTTATAAATTGTTATTTCAATTCACTTTGCACCTTTGCATTATTTAGGTATTTCTGAAAGAAAAGATTTGAAAAAAAAATTTATCTTGAATAATGATGTGATATAAGGTCTCTATGTTCCGAATCTTAAGCGATTCCTCTAACACAAAAATCTTACCCTAGTAGTAAGGGATGATTAGATGAAGAGTCTATAGGAGAACGATAAGGATGCATAATTTAATCCAAATTATGGAAAAACTTGGAAAAGTCAAAATAAGGATTTTGATCCGTATTTCACTGCATCATTTGCAGATTTGCAGATAATTTAAGCTTCTTGCAGTGGAAATTCTGAACAAAATATATACAATAAAAAGTTGCACAATTTATCAGTAAATATCATAAATAGATTATAGACGAATGACGATGCACAGACAAATTTATTTTTGGAAAATCAAAATGCATTTCCGAATTTTATTATTATTTTCCGCAAAATCCTTTGGCACCTTTACGTTTTTTTTAATATTTAAAAATTCATAAATCCATGAAATAAATATAAGTAAATTTCTTCTGACTTTTTAAGAATAGTTTAAAGAAACATCCTTATTCAAAATCTCTTGCTGAAGAAAAAAAATCATCAATCGCTTAAATTTTTTTGCCGATTTTTTAAATTTTTGTTTTTGTTTTTCTTTTCGATTAATATATTTTTATATATATCTAATGTTTATAAAGCGCTTCTTTTCCACAAATTTAATTTTCGTCAATTAAGAAAGACAAAATTTTTTTTAAAACCATTTAATTGGTTTGATGATTGAAGACAGAACAGTCGAGTTAATAGCAAAGATCGTTGTATTGATTAGGTTTAGATTAGCCAATGATTAGGTTTCTACCAAGATCTATAAATTTGTCTCTAAAAGATTCGAGTGGTGCTTGTGGTCCACTTTCAGTTCTATTACCAACTGATTTCCTAGCACAAATTTCTAACCAGATTAGCAGGGATGGTTAGCATTTACCACTTAATTTTATGGCTGTGAGGATATTTTCCGAAACAAGTTTCATTGACGATTTTAGTATATCCTTATGCATATTTTTATTTAGCAAAATTCGGCTTGCCTTTATTTTCAAGAATAACGAACTTTCTCAAAAAATTTCTGAAAATAAATATTTGTGAAATATTTGTAAATATTTTCTATAATTTCTATAATTTGATGGGAAATTTTTCAATTTCTTTGAAATAATATTACTTGTTTAAAATAATGAAAAAATAAAAAATTATCTAGAAAAAATCAGGCGTACCAATCTTTTTACCGAGAGATAAATAATCGTATTATCCTTATAACTTTCCTTTTTGCACAGATTGGCCAGAAGTAAACAACTGCATTACCATTTTGATTTCCTTGTTAAATCATTCAATTCAAATTATTTTCATCCAAATTCACTGAAGTTTTATTTTTTAAATAGAGAAATTAACAGTGAGTGAATCTGAACTTAAAACGAATTTTGATTTGGTTCAATTCTTGCGATTTAATTTTGAAAATTGACCCAATATTAAATTTGAACCAATCGATCAATGAGATTAAATTGCCGAATATCGATGTACTATATTGTTCATTTAATTCTGGAAAATTTTTAAATATTTATTATTGATAAATTATTGTAAATCAATTTTTTCAATCAGTAAATATATATATTTTTGAAAAATTTTAGAAAAATTTTTAATTTAATTATTTGAGAAATACAAATTTCATTTTTTCTCGAGTTGAAATTTTTGGCTTTTTTCATGAAAAATTTCCATGTCTATAATTTTAATGAATATTTATTTTCGCAGCGAAGTTCGCGAAACTCTGGTAATGGTTGGTCAATAAATTCACCTTAATTACTGCTAATTAAGGATTGGAATGGTAATTATTGCTTGAATTATCGAAAATCCTTTTCTTGGCAAGGTAAAGCTAAGGACACGATTTCTACCTTCAAGTGGTTATCTGGCAATTTCTCATCGTAATAACGATGAAATGCGAGTGGCGTCTAATGCCATAATCGACAGTAATAGAGGCCGTTCCTTTTTCCATCTAAGTCCATATATTGTTGGTCCATCTATATGTTCAAAACCTTTTTTGACCGTATCAGACCAGGTCTTGATTGGCCCACCTCGTTTTTGACACGATCCATCACGGTTTAGCAAGTATGCATATACGAAATACTTCAACTCCTGTGGTGGACGACGGAGAACGTGACCCTAACTAGCGGAAGATATGTTCTATGATTACATTATTAATGCAAGTGGTACTTGAAGGTGTGTGCGATCATGTGATATTTTTTCCGCTCGCCATACCGGTAAAATGTACAAGAGTGGTCAAAGTTAAATAATTTCTTAATATCCTCCACTTTCATTGGCCATATCTTAGAACCATATAAAATCCTTTCTTTTATAACAAGATCGAACAAATCACGACTTTTGTTTTAATGGTAATTTCACGAGAGCTCCATAAAGATTTCGTCAACCGGTCAACCGAAAAATGCATTTCTCGCTGCCGTAATCCGGATTGTAATATCGTCTTTTGCCTGGCCATTCGGTATTAGAGTGGATCCAAAGTATTTAAAACCAGGCATTTCCTTTACCGGTAATGAATAATTTATAAAAAGAAGTACTTTATCAGCTTCTTGTAAAGCTCTTGAATAAGGCGAAAAGACTTTCGTTTTGTATACATTGGTCATGAGTCCTATTCTTGCTGCAATTTCTGACATGTTATTCAGCATTACTTGCATTTCGTCATAACTGTCAGCAAAAAAGACTACATCATCAGCGTATTCAAGGTTTATAATGCTATGCTCTGGACTGATTTGTATACCTCTTAAATGCCGACAAGTGGCGCCAATTATCCAGTCTATCGCATAGTTGAATACTGTTGGGAAAAGGATATACAACCTTGACGAACACCAGTTTTTATTTCGAAAGAGTCTGTCAGTTTCCCATATACCCAGACCTGCGCCGATGTCTGCTCATAAAATGCCTTTATGAATCGAATCTTCTTTTGGTATTCATTTGCCGTTCTAGAAAAATCATTGATATTTGTATCATTGAGGTGCTTCAATAATTCGGTTTGAAATGCGCTCACTATCCCCGAATTTTTTAGTTTGAAATAGTTGAAGGATCTTGGGCGATGTTATTTTCTGTGAGTTGCCGATTTTATGCGGATCCTGCCTCGAACCATAATATGGTCAGATCCATGAAGATTGCCCGTTTCTCCGCGATAAGAACGACTATCTAGTACGGAACTCTTCCAACAGCGATTGATTAAGATATAATCGATCTGGTTGAAGTGTTGGTTGTCCGGGGAGTTCCACGTGACTAGATGTTTTCTATGATGCCAAGTATTAGTAACAAAAAGTTTATGTTCTCCGGCATAATGAAGAGGATGTTCCCCATTGGTGCACTGGTTTAAAATTCAGAAATATTTTTAAAATATTACGAAAAAAATTTACAGAGGAATAGCA